CGGGCCCGCGGGACCCTGCCGTCCTCCACCCCCGCGGGGTCCCTGCCTGCTGCTTGCCCGCTGCCCCGCCCTGCGAGGCAGGCTGCCTGCGGCCAGCGCAGCGTTTCCCCCATGGCCGAATTCACAGCCAGGGTGCCCTTCTGCAGTGGGCTGTGCCAGCTGATGCCAGATGCGTTTGGCTACTGAGATGTATCTGAGGGGAACCCCAGGGGTGTTCCTGCTGGGACCTTTGTACCTGGGAAGGTCTCATGCCTTTTCTTGCACCCGCACTTGCAAACGTATTGAAAAGCTCTTGGGGTTACTTCAGCACAGCAGGCAGCTGGGCGGATCCCACCCCACCCCAGCCGTGATGTCTGCTGCAGGGTCAGGCCCCCCGGCTCACAAGTCCGGCTCCCCATCAGAGCCACAGTACCGGCAGCAGTGAAGTGACTAGACACAAAAACCCAAAGACCAAGGCTGGGCCAGTCACGAGGTGCCAGAAGGCACACAGCAAAGCAGCCGCCTCTGCGGCTCATGCTGGGGTCACAGCCAGCCGAGAGTGGGGACAGTGCAATGTCCTACACTCCTGCCCTCGAGCCCCTGGTATATTCGGTCCACTCTTGCCGCTGAGCAGCTTAGCACTAACTCCCTGTCCCAGCCATCGGCCTGTCTCTGTGGCATCCTGCCTGCAGTCGGAGCCCGGCTGGGCAGAAGGAGATGAGAAGACAGACAGACAGACAGCTGCTCAGACACAGCCACGTGCCTTGCGTGTGACCAGAGTCAGGGGAGTTGGACCCCATCCGGATGTGACGATCAGGTCAGGGAGAATCCCTGATAGTTGTCAAAGCTTCTGTTTCACGCTCAGTTTCCTACTTGATGTGACTCAACACAGCTCCTGCTTGGGTAGAGGCTTAGGGTTTCAAAGGCGCCTCGCTCTGCTCCCGTTTACACAAAATCTCTTCCTGCTGTGGTTGCATTCCCTGCCTGGTGTGTGAATGGGCGCAGGTCCTTCCACACACGTGGTGCCTGCACAGCCATCGACCCTTATTCATTAGAAAAGGCTCTGTCAGATCCAACTTATAAATCCAGCCCTGTTTTTTCCTGCAGAACT